TGGGCATTAGATACAGATACGACGGCGGTCTGTTCAACATAAAAAGACTCAGGGCAAAAACACGTACAAAATTCATCACAGAACTTCAATACGCTGACGACTGCGCTCTAGTTGCAAACACGGTACAACAATTACAAGAAATGTTGAACACATATACCTGGGCATACGAGGCTTTGGGCCTTAAGCTAAACATCGACAAAACCAAAATCATGTGCACTCTCCCGGAAGATCATAACAATGCCGTAAAAATCGGAGAGAAACTATTGGAATATGTAGCGGAATTTAATTACCTCGGCAGTTTGATTTCGGAAAAGGCCAATATCGACTCTGAAATTCAGGACAGCGCCTCAAGAGCATTCTGGAAATTAAAAGACAGGGTTTTCTACAATCATGACTTGAGTACAAAAACGAAACTGGCAGTGTACCGAGCAATTATAATCCCCACCATGTTATATGGGAGCGAAACCTGGGTGCCGCGCCGTACCGCCGACACATGAAGGCATTAAACAAGTTGCAACAGAGACACCTTAGACAACTCTTAAGAATCCGGTGGTTCCATCATGTCTCAAACGTATCGGTCCTTGAAAAAGCTAACTGCGAGAGTATTGAAGTCTTGGTTACAAAATCCCGCTTAAGATGGGCTGGTCACGTATGCAGAATGCAAGAAAACCGCATACCAAAATCTCTGCTTTACGGTGAGCTTGTCGACGGTAAGAGGAGGCCGGGTGGACAATTCAAAAGGTACAACGACATTTTCCACGAAAACTTAAAGGGGATTAACATGCAGAATCATTGGGAAGAAGCAGTTCACAATAGAACTCAATGGAGAAGAGTTGTAAGCTCAGTTAACAGCGACAACCAAAAAGTAAAGAGGCAACAGAGGCATGAGATTTTTGAATGTCCGGAGTGCGGTAGGAAAATAACATCACGTATCGGGCTTTTCAGTCACAGAAAAGATCATGAAAGAAAACGCCTTGCGTGACCATCTTTTGATGCGTGTCGAATACTCGTCAGCGAGTAATGGCAGTAGTAGTAGCTAAATTTATTTTGATACCTAATTTATTGCTGGCTGTATTTAGTTCGTTAATTTGTACTTGTACTATTGGCTCCTCTATGTCATGAGCGAATCTTAGATGGTTAAGATATTCTCCGTCTATACTTAATTCTTTGTTGGTTCAGTCGAGTTGAAGGAAGATTTCTTCTAGTGTTACGGTAAACAGCTTTGGGGATATTGCGTCTACCTCGTACTTCTTTATTTGCCAGTTTGGAACTCTGGGTTTGTTTCATATATCATTACTTTTGCTTTGCCTTCCTTGTACATCTGTCCTCACCCTGTATATACTTATTATTTATATTTTATGTACACACTGTATATATTTATATGGAAATAGCAGTGATACATTCAATAAAACGACATTATAATTATTATTACAATAATTAAATAAATTAACAGAATCAATTGAACAATATTTTCGGTATATTAAAGTGCACCAATTATGAATAATACCTAAAATATATATGGTTGAATAAAAGGTTACATTATTGGCTAAATTTATGTTATATTCGAAAGGATTTAGATTTAATTAAAATAAATACATCGAATTATTTAACCCTGCTTTAAAACCATTGGAACTAATTTATAATATTATTTATTATTATTATTATATACCATATATGTATGTATGTACCACTCCAATATATTTGATTTATAATCCTGAATATATAGAGGGATTCTAAAAAATTTAAACACAATCCTTACATTACAAATTTTGGTTTATAATAAGAATATAGTCTAAGTAAGTAAGTAACTTAAGTAAGTACTGTAAGGTACTGTAAGGTACTGTAAGTCTAAGTAGGTACTTACTACGAAATCTTCAAAATAAAATAATATTTTTTTTGTGAACACTGCTGCGTTAATACAACGGAGACTAATTTTTTTCAGCAGTGGTTTTTTTTTTCAAACAAACAACGCTTTATTGTACAAAAAGCCAAAACAGCTTTATCGATAAAGCACTCACAAACAACAAAATCACAAAAAAATACAAACAACAAAAAATACACAATACAAATAATACAATTAAAAAAAATAAGTCTTTAAAATTACAAAAAGAATATATACATGGACAATTTTAGAACAGTACGCAGTAAATAGATATAATTTTAGAGTTACAAAATACACACACCGGAAAAGTCTAGGGATATTACAATTTTATCCAGCCATCGTCAGTAATTTTATTATTTACATTTCTGATATAATAAAATTAAAATAAACAAATAGTTTACAGGACGTATTGGAAATAAAAATGCGAAATTTACCGAATTTTTCAAATTTATCTTGATTTTTATTGGACTCAAAAAAATACACACATCTTTTTTATTCTAAACTGTGAATTAAAAAAAATATAAAACCATTTTTACTTAATAAAGGGTATGGCCTCCTCTACTGTTCATTACAGCCCTACATCGTCTCTCCATGCTCCTGATCAGGTTGTCGATCTCTTCTTGAGGTACAGCCTGCCACGCTGCATTCACGGCCCGAACCAGATCCCTACGAGTTTCACGAGGCATACCCATTCTCAAAATTCTTCTTTGGACCGCGTCCCATACGTGCTCGATGGGGTTGAGGTCAGGAGATTGTGCCGGCCAGGGTAAGATGTTTAATTGATGAGCATTGATAAACTCACCATTCTGGCTGTATGAGGCCGTGCATTGTCATGCATGAGAATGAAGTTTCTTCCAAAGTTATTGGCATATGGTAACACGACAGGCTCAAGAATTAAATCACGATATGTGCAGTGCTGTTAGAAACCTTTCAAGAAAAACGAGATCGGTTTTTCGGCCTAAGAGACTCCTCCCCAGACCATAACTGTTCCACCTTGATAAGGGTGCACTTCCTGAACATGATCCAACCGAATAAGATTTCCCGGTTCTCTCCATACTCTAAGTCTTCTCAAATCCGGATGAATTCCAAAGCGTGACTCATCCGTGAAGAGAACATTGGCCCATTGTTCAGTCGACCACTGAACATAATCTTGAGCCCACAAATATCGTACCTCTTGATTTCTTCTCGTTAAGGGTTGAGCTCTCCAGGGCGTCTGCTTCTTAAGTTGACCTCTCTTAACCTATTGCGAACAGTGTCAGGACTAACGGTTACATTATGTGTTTCCTGGAGAATTAAACTAAGCTCTGGTGCTGTAAGAGTCGGTCGGCGTCGAGCATTTAATTGTAAAAAATGATCTTGCTGAGGGGTAGTAATGCGATGTCGCCCTGTGTGCCTTTCAGCAACATCACCATTTTCACGGTAGCGTGCACTTAATCGCGATATTACACTTTGCGTTGTATTTAATGCTCTAGTTACGTCGATTTGGCGCATTCCATGCAGCTTCGAGCATACCCATGGCCCTTAGCATTTCGTCTCTGTTAAGATGTCTACGCTCCATAATGTCGTTTAATACTAAACAGAGTTATTTGAATGAATTCTGGCCAGTTATCATAAAAACATAGCCAGTACAGGTTAAATTCGAACAATTGATGCTAGGTGCTTTTTATACATTTGACAAAAAATGCACAAACACTTCTGCAAATATCCCAAATTTAGAAATAACTAGTGTGACTACTTCGTTTCAATCGAAGTAGAAAAAATCGGCCTACAAATATGTGGTTGTTTATTCAAAACATTTATTTTTAACTTTAATAAAATGATATCCCTGGATTTTTCCGGTGTGTGTATTAAATACTTGACCTTTGACCAGTGTCTGAGATGATCAAAATTTTAAAATTCAAAATTGTTCATAATTAAACATCAACAAAAAAGTCGTTTACCGCCGTTGTTTGTTTGGTTTACTGATAACAAATTTGCTTAACGGACAAAAAAATGCTTAACATTTCGGGAAGTATATCTCTTCCCGTCGTCTGAAGAAAAAATAAACACAAAGAACAAAGAAAAAAACTATTTAAAATATCTAAATGCAACTATTCGAGAATACTTTAGTTTTTTTTCAAACAGATATACATCAGGGGCGGGAAAGTGAAATAGCAAAAGCGGTTCCACCGTTTCCACGGAAATATCAAATAAAATAGTTCCAGCCCTAGTCACTAGGTGGTAGTGCAATTAATTTTTAGGTTAAGAAGTTGCTACTAGTTATTGCCAGATGGCGTTAAATCAGAATTTTTTTGTAGTTTCCATAGTTTCCAACGCCATTGTCATATTATTGTCAAATTCTCAAAAAATATTGTCGTTGTCATAGCGCCAATCATAATATTATCAAATAAATAATTATCAAAACGTTTTTCAAACTATAATTTGTTATATGTGTTTTAATTAGACAATTCCTTTTGTTTGTGGCCCTAAAAATATAATGTAAGTCTTTTATTTTTGCCATCATTTAAGTACCTATTTATATTTACACCATTTACAAAACTTTGGGCGTATTACGTTGATCTTGTTTTATTATAATAAACGATATTTAAATATTTCACTTATAAATAAAAACTTCAAATAATAAATAGTATTTCACGTGTTTGGCCTTAATTTTATTTAATAATTGTATAAATTATACTTTTAAATCTTATTTTTTACACATCACAACGATACTTGTTATTGTATTGTTGAATTTGTGTAACAAATAAGATTTAATAATCAAATTTAATTATTTTAGAGTAAAATTCAATAAATACGCTCATTTAAAAAGCCCACGCTTCGATCCATTTAAAACAAGCCCTACTCAATAGATGGCGCCACTTCTGTAGGACCATTTTTCAGTATGGCAGAGTCCATTCTTTTTCTAGCTAGGTATATTCTTTGATATACACGTCTACAAAAACCGTTGACGTTCTGTCAAACAATGACGCAAACAATGGCAAAATACCCATAAGACTTTTTTGGAGAAATAAGGATATACATAGTTTCAATCAAAAACATTTATGAATAAAAAAAATACTTCGATTTGAAACTTGTTCTCTTTTAAACATTACTAATATAATTTTTTCTTTTATTGTAGTGGTGGATTGTCAAGTGACTTCTTGGGGTCCATGGTCTTCATGCGATGCCGACTGTGGTCCGGGAACCATGTCCAGATCAAGATCTATAAAGATCCAACCTGAGAATGGCGGTAGACATTGTCCAAGTCTCGAGCAGAGACGAGGTTGCCAGGTGTCTACTTGTTATCATCATCCCGATCCTGCAATCAAAGGTAAGATATTCTTTTATAGTAAAATTGGATATTTTGTTATACCGAGTTGGCATTTCTGGCCTTGGGTGCCGATTTTCGTGTGCACGACCAGTACGGTCAATACAAGATGTACTAACTAAAGAAAGAAGAGCAAGGATTTTCACAAGGATTAAGACAGATGTCGTTAGATAATAAATACGTACTTGGCATTTTTCTCTCTCCAACTTACAAAATCGCCATATCGATTTACTCCTAGACATGTAAACACCTGGTAGTACCTTAAGGATATTTTGAAGATATATGAATTCTCCATTGAATATCGAAAAATATACTGGGTGTTCCATTTAATATAATAGAGTAACTTCCTTTTAAATGTGATCAATGTTCAATATTAATTTTGTCTCACCCTGTGTAATTTTTGGGTCAAGTTTTAATTTTGTTTAAAGTACAGTAGTAATTACAAACACACTACGTATTAGGCTATACCGGGTAAATTCCAATTTAGGTAGCTTCTTTTGAAATTTAAAAATGGTTTTTCATTTTTAGAAAAGGTTATATTTAACTCGGCGCGGCCTACTACTAACTGGATATTTTCAGAAAAATTTGCAATGTTGAGGTTAATATTGAAAATAAATATAGAGTGCTATATATTTTTGAGAAGCCCATGGCAAGCTGAATCAGAAAATTTCAAAATATACACGGGCTTCTATTTAAAAAAAAACATAAGTAGAGTTAATATCTAAAAAAATATATTTTTTGAAAAAAATCTGACTAACGCCACTGCATTCTACAGAGAAAAGTGCCTTTAGAATCTATAATTTATTTTTCCGTTGTTGCTGAAATAAACAAACTATCGAACATCTTCAAAAAGTACAAAATTTGAGAATCCCCCTGTAGCTTCGAAGCCGATCAAGATAGCCACGATCCGTTTTGCGCCATTGTGATTTTTTTCAAAAAAGAACCCGAGACTGCAGTATCAAAATTTGAATATTTCTCACCGTTTCCTAGCTACCCTATAGAAACAACCAAAATGGTCCACCCTGTACAGTTCAGTAGTTTTAAGATATAGATTAGTTCCATCCTAATCACGGTCAGTCAATCAAATCCAAAAAAATCTAAATTAATCGAGGAACGCAACTGCTAAAATAATCGTGAGTTTTGTATGTTTCTAGAAGTATCTACATCATTACTAAGTCTTTATCAAACCCTTTCGGATTTTTATAAAATTACACGATTTTAGAAACTAAATAAAATAAAGTGATGAACAGAATTTTATTTGTATTTATTTAGATAACCGCTAACAGATTTTTTTGAATATTTCTTTTTAGTTCAAATCGAAGTTATAGAAACTCGGAAAATTTATCGATGCAAATCGTAAGCAAGAAGTAATTAGAAAAAACGAAGAAAAAGCAAAAAAAGCCCGACACCAATCGAACAGCCTTTAACTTAATCAAACTGAAAATTAAATCCCGATCGCTAAAGTTTCCAAACGGCGCGGCGCCGCGCCAACATTAAACTGCTCCAGAAAAAGACGAGAGCAACTTTCTCTCTAAAATTCCAGAACTGATTTCCTTCGAGCCGTAAACTTTTTTCCCGTTGGAAAGTTTCCAGCGGCAGCTTCCTCGAACCTGCCTTATTTATGTACCTCGAATTTATCGGCGCAATTAGGATTTGTTCTAAATTTTATGGACAACGTCGACAAGTAGTTAACACCGAGTTAAACACAAATAAAAATGTAAGGCTTAAGAAAAAAGTCTTCTAAATATACAGGATGGTCCGAACTGTACCCCGGAAACTTCGGCAGTATATTCTGCAGATAAAAATAAGTAAAAAAGTTCGAATAAATGTATGTCATAAAATGCTTAGTTTTGGAGATAAAGGGTGTAGAAGTTTCATTTTTATTGAGAAATTTGATTTTCAGGTCAATATAACTCCTATTTGTAGGAGGCGCCACCTACATGTGTTTTAACTGTTTTGAGAACCAACTTTTTGTCCGTACCCATATAAAACCCACTGATTTAAAGAATATAAAGAATATACATTTCCGTAATTTTTTACGTTGAAAATGTCTCTCGGTAAAAATCGCTACGCGCAACTGTTCTCAAGATATTTAGAATGAAAACAGTCAATACGTGTCTTTAGACATGACAAAAAATAAATATATGTACCGGGTGTCCCACTAAGAATAGCTCTCGGCTGTATCTCGGAAAGTAAGCCGTAGGGCTTACGGAAAAAATATTTATAATTAAAGGGGCTATGAGAAATTGCTGGAATTGTTAAAACGGCCGCTAGGTGGCGCAACTGCTATAGAAAATAAGAATTTTTTACAGAATTTTTAAACAGATTTTTTACAGAATTTTGCCTAGATAATGGGTACTATAAATAATAGCTTCACAATCTTCAGTAAATTTTGGATTTTTTTTGTTCAAACCATTTCCCCTATCTGCTAAAATAAAGTGGTGGGGGAAAGTTAGATCTATCTTTATTTAAATGTTAATAACTCCGGACTGGATGATCAGAATCCAACAAGGGCTCGTTTAAAAGAGCGTTTCTTACTCTATAGTATACCATAAAAATAATAATAATAAGGTTTTGAATGTAGATGCTTGGGGGCCCTTTCTACAATTTAACAAACATAGCGCGTTTTTTCAAAAAAATTAAATACGATAGTATGTGTTATTTTAGCTGATAGTAAAGAGTAGTAAAAACTTAAACGGTCAGCGAAAACCGCATCTTGATATCTTCTTTCAAACCGAAGATATTAGCAAAATTATAACAAATACCAAAAAATAAGCCCTTATAATTACCTTATTTTTACAATACAGTATCAGTATTGATTAGGCCCATTCTAACAAAAAAATAATATAGAAACAGTTAGTTTATTTTAAAATCGACGAAATACCAGAATACCATAATACCAGATATATTAATATCTAATAATTAAGATATTAATAATAGTGAACAAGAAACGAGATGAACGATGAAGTCATGGTAGGCTTTGGAAAAAGTTGCTTTTGACGTAATAGTATAAACGTCAAATTGTTATTCAACAGATCAACATTTTGATAGTCTGAGCAGCGTTTTTTTTTATCTTTTAAATGCTTTTTCAAAATGCCTTTATTATTTGAAGTAGTTGAAGTTGTTGGCATTTAAAAAAAGCAATCAAAAGATAAAAAACGACTATCAAAATCTAATAACAATTTGACGTTTATACTATTACGTCAAAAGCAACTTTTTTCCGAAGCCTACCATGACTTCACTGAATCATCGTTTGTTGTTCACTATTATTAATATCTTAATTATTAATAAATAATATTTTCTTGCCTTTAGCTGTGTATTTTTTCTAATTTCGAAAAATCGAAAGTAGAGAAAAAATAAAAAAATAAAAAGTAAAAGAAAATTGTTTTGCTTGTCGTAAAGGGGGGAACCAATTACAGGCACGGAGGAAAAGATATTACTCGTCTAACCAGTAAAAAAATGTAGGTGGGGCCCTCCACAAGTAGGAATCATGTTGATATCAAAATCAAATTTCTCTTGTCAAAAAACTCCCTCTAAATCGTCTCAGATACTGGCTTTTTTCAAAGGCCTGAGACTGTATGATAAGTGATAACTCAAGAAAGGGGGACACAATAGATCTATAAAGTCGCGGTGATCTCCCCTCCCATATAATCTACAATTTACCCCGTCAATATGTAATTAATTATTTATGAAACTTCTAAAAAATTCTCAATTTCCAAACCTTCAATGAGAAATAAATGAAACCTTATTCAAAATACCCACCAATATCGATAGGTTTTTCTGTGTAGCCAAGCAGGAAATAACAAAGTTATTTTTCTGGCTTCGACTGAACCGTTGTCGAATAAAATTTTTCATAACTGCGAATTGGGGCACATCAAAAGGCTATCGAAAACCAAACGAAACAATAAAGTAGGAATGAAAACGGGCTGTCACGTAAACAAATTAATGAAAAAAGGGGGGATTTTCCGCTTGATGCAAGGATAAAGTACCAATAGAGATTGGAGAGGAAAGCCTAATAAAATAAATGAAAATTAAATGAGTTATAAAGTCGGCAATTAAATGGACGTATTGATTAAAAGGGCTTAAATTGTTCTCAAAGAATCAGTCGATTATTAGGAACATTTTAATTTCTTATACCTATAATTAATTCTTTATTAGTTTCGTCGTTCTGTTCTTTTCTAATTTTTTTTGTATTGCAGCGTATTTTTTGTAGCTATTTGACTTCTTTACATTCTTACAAAATTTCAGTGATAGCAATTTCGAGAGTTTGTATTTTTGTTAAGTAAAGTGAAGTATTTTATTTACAACCACATAATGTAATACTGACATTATTGACTCTTAAAAAATTTGAGAGTGTCAAATTATCTACATTTCTTCCTTCTTCCATTTCCCTGACCCATTTCACTCATCCATTTTCCTCACCCATTTACCTCACTCATTTCCCTCACCCATTTGCCTCACTCGGTTTTTCTTATTTCTCGCCTCATTTAATTAAGCAAAATATTCTTGTAATATCTTTATTAAATACTTATCTAACATCAACAAAAATAAACAAGAAGATTAACAGTAAAATTGAAATTAATAGTAAAATTTAACTTATTGTACGCGTTAATCGATATATTTCTATGCAAATTTTGTTTTCTAAAATATCAATATGCGTATTTTTCATCTTCACTCATCACTTCGACATGCCCCAGACACACCTACTATAAGCGCAACCTAAACAATAAAAAGGAGGGTCGGAAATTAATATGTAGAAGCAGGATATAAACAATTAAGAAACGAAGTAAATAATCTAAGAAAACATTTGCAGAAAACATATGCAGAAAGAAAGTTTGCGGAAGTAAAGGGGAACAGTAGGAAAACGTGGTGCCTAATGAATGACATGTATGGAAAAAAACCTAAAAACAAACAAGTAATAAATAACATAAACAGCAAGAAGGGACAAACTCTAACAAATGATAAACATAAAGCAAATGAATTTAACAACCATTTTGCAAATG